CTCCCAGGACAGGGACAGCACAGGTTTAGGTACAGAGTAAAGCTCCCTCTACACTGTCTCCCCATCAAACACTCCCAGGGACAGGGACAGCACGGGGTTAGATACAGGGTACAGCTCCCTCTACACTGTCCCCCCCATCAAACACTTTCACAACAGGGACAGCATGGGGTTAGATACAGAGAAAAGCTTCCTCTACACTGTCCCCTCATCAAACACTCCCAGGACAGGGACAGCACGGGGTTAGATACAGAGTAAAGCTCTCTCTACATTATATTGTTGCCAGTCCCATCGAGCTTAAAAACCAAGAGAAATGTCTTATCTGAAGACAGGAACAATCAATGATGAGTCAAAGTAGAAAACAAAGGAAATCTAGATCTGATCTGATCCACCCCCTAGCACACAGGACTACAGGGCTCACGGAGAAAGAACATTAAACCCTCAGCAATTTTCACCAATACTGGACAATCCAAATTATTTCTCATTTCATGCAACCCGTTCTGAAACGTGCTCCCTGCTGCAATCGAAGGGAAACAGACAACAATTTACTTTTTATTTATCCAGGGGATGCGGGCGACGTTGGCTAGGCCAGTATTCATTGCCCATCTTCTTAATGGCCCCTAGAGCAGGGGGTGGTGAGCCATCTTTTTGCATTACTACAGGTTGCGTGGTGTAGGGACAATACCTTTAGGGAGGATTTCCAGTATTTTGACCCAGTGACAGTGAAGGAACAACGATATCGGTCAGAATGGTGAGTGGCTCGGAGGGGAACCTACAGGGGATGGTGTTCCCATGTATCTGCTGCCCTTGTCCTTCTAGACAGAAGTGGTCGTGCGTTTGGAAGGTGCTGTCTAAGGGGCCTTGGTGAGTCACTGCAGTGCATCTTGTAGATGGTACACACTGCTGCGACTGAGCATCAGGGTGGAGGGAGTGGATGCGGTGCCAATAAATTTATCCTGGATGGTGTCAAGCTTCTTGAGTGTTCTTGGAGCTGTACCCATCCAGACAAGAGGGGAGTATTCCATCACACTCCTGACTTGTGCCTTGTTGATGGTGAACAGGCTTCGGAGAGTCAGGAGGACAGCACGTTGTTTTTTAGGGATATGAGTCGGTTCCAGCGGAGCAGAGAGATGCTGTTCCTTCAGTGGAGATTTATTTTATATCCACCTGAGAGGGCGGGCAGGTGCCTCAGTTTATCGCTGTATAGGGTGCTGGTACGGCCTCACCTGGAGTACTGTGTACAATTTTGGTCTCCTTGCTTGAGAAAGGATGTATTGGCACTGGAGGGGGTGCAGATGAGGTTCACTAGGTGGATTCTGGAATTGAGGGGGTTGGCTTATGAGGAGAGATTGCGTAGACTAGGACTATACTCATTGGAATTTCGAAGAATGAGGGGGAATCTTATAAAAGCATACAAAATTATGAAGTGGATGGGTAAGGTAGAATCAGGAAGGTTGTTTCCACTGGTGGGTGAAACTAGAACGAGGGGGCATAGCCTCAAAATAAGGGGGAACAGATTTGGGACTGAGTTGAGGAGGAACTTCTTCACCCAAAGGGTTGGGAATCTGTGGAATTCCCTGTCCAGTGAGGCTACCTCGTTAAATGTTTTTAAGGCAAAGATAGATTTTTGAACAGTAAAGGAATTAAGGGTAATAGTGAACGGGCAGGTAAATGGAGCTGAGTCCATGAAAAGATCAGCCATGATCTTATTGAATGGTGGGGCAGGTTCAAGGGAGCCAGATGGCCTACTCCTGCTTCTTATTTCTCATCATGAAAGATAGCACACCTCCAATAGAGCCCGCTCCCTCGACGTCGACCCTCTGACTCCTCTGACAGAGCCCGCTCCCTCGGCGCTGACCCTCCAACAGAGCCCGCTCCCTCGGCGCCGACCCTCCGACAGAGCCCGCCCCCTCAGCGCCGACCCTCCGACAGAGCCCGCTTCCCTCGGCACTGACCCTCCGACAGAGCCCGCCCCCTCGGCGCTGACCCTCCAACAGAGCCCGCCCCCTCGGCGCTGACCCTCCGATAGAGCCCGCCCCCTCGGCGTGAATGAATTAGGTTGCAGAGTGGGAGACCCAAGCCCAGGACAGTCCTACTCTCATGGAAACCTTGTTGCTGATCCCTGGGGCCCCGATGCCTGGCCGAGAGGTTGCTCCTCCAGTCAGGCCATGAGTGAGCCTCACTTGCCCACGTCCCCTCTTGTTCATGCACAAGACAGTGAAAGCCCTGTAACGGGGAAGTGAATCAGTGCGGCCACATTGGCTCGGATCACCAACAGCCCTGAACTTGCCCTGGCACTCCCAGCCAAAGAGCCAGCGTAAATCCCCGAGTATCTCCACAACGGGGACATCCTGACACTACAGGTCCCAGCCTGGTGGTTGTACACTCAGGAGCAGGCAAATTGGGGACTAAACCTCTGGGGCAAGAATTTTCAAAAGACAGGGGCGTGTACGGGAACAACGCAGCGGATAGAGAGACACATTCAACCCTGGATTACAATTTGTTTTGGTGGAGCAAAGCGGAGATAAATGGGAGATCACAACAGAACGGCTCTCTCACACAGGACATTTGTAAAATGCAGAAACGTACTTTTCATTTTGAAATGTTCTTAGGTAAAATACTGTACAATGCATTCAAAATGCGGACAGGCGCTTTGGAACGTGAGCCACTGAGAGATGTGTCAGTCTCAACATTTACAGAGATGTTCTGTCTACCCGACACAGACCGCGATCACCATTCTCAATGTGCCATTCAGGCACCATGTTCACACACTCCCTGGGGTGACAAGATGTGCGCATCATTCTGCAGCATGAGGTGCACGAGATGTTCCCCATCCCCTCCGAAGGGACAGTTCTGTACTCAGACGCTAGCTGATGGGGCTTCCTCTGATTTCAGAGGCTGCTGTCTCAGCTACGTGCACACTCTCTAAACTCTCCCAGCCAGCCTGTCCGCCGGTGCCATCCCCATCTCTTGCCTACTCTGAGCTCCAGTTTGGAACCACGTTGTAACAAAAGTCAGGGGAATACATCAGCTCCATCAGGGAGTGTCAGGCCAGGTCTTGGGGTCAATTCTCTCTGCAGTGTGGACCTGAAGCCACAACTCTGAGTGAATGACAGAAAAAGAGAACACAGAGAGGAAGAGAGAGAGAAAGAGGAAGAGAGAGAGACAGACAGAAAGAGAGAGGGAGAGAGAAAGAGGGAGAGAGACACACACAGAAAGGGGGGGGGAGAGAGAGAGAGAGAGAGAGAGAAAAAGAGAGAGAAAGAGGGAGAGTGAGAGGGAGTGAGAGAAAGAGACAGACACACAGAATGAGAAAGCCACAGAGACAGCTGCCTACAGCTGACACAGAGTGTGTAACAGACACAAAAACCCAACAGCAATGGGTGATCTTCCAAAACAACATTCTCGCGGTAGGGAGTATGCCCAGCAAACATTAAGCGGATTGCACCTGAACCTTGTCAACACCAACCTGAGAGACAGTGGCCCTGGAGCTCACTGGGAACACAATACCATTACTTCATCGCCCATCACTGATGCCTCAACATCACCGAAGGAGTGATGCCGAAGAGTCTGCTTCCCCTCGCCACACCCTGTCCAACCACCGGAGAGCCCAAAGATATTCCTGGTGCATCTGGATACCGTGAGGTTAAAAGGCTCTTCTCGTTTCAAACAGGAATATGAAGAGACTGTGCGATCTAGGTTTTTCTCTATAAAACACACACAATGCCTAGCCTTCTCTTCCACACTCTTCCAGTGCATGGGAGACAAGTCTGTTTTTTTTTTATATATATATATTATGTTTAAAAAAAAGGACCAGTTCAGGAGATTAAAACTCATCCACCCTCCTAGCGTCATGTCGATCCCTCTGCTTATAGATCGTCTGGTCAGACATTTACGAGTCACTGAGATGCCAGTGTCCATCATCGGCCATTTCCCGTTTGCCACGAGTACGGTGCGGTTGGCAGGCGGCCAGCTTGTTGGCGTTCGGAGGTGGGGCAGGTGGGGAGCGGAGAGGGTTGTGTTAGCGTGGGCTCCCGCAGTGACCAACGGCCTCGCCCGTTACTTGCTCTTTGGCTGAGCGCCCACCTCGAGCTCCCACTGGGCCTCCACCAGTTTGTACAGTTCCATGGTGGCACGGGCATCCTCCACTGACGAGTGTCCCTGCTTCCCGACCTGAGTTTGGGGGCGAGAGCGGGGAAGAAGAGTTACCGGTTATTGATATTATATCTTTGTATAGTGGACAGTGGGGAAGGTTATCTAAGGCTACAGACAGATCTTGACCAGTGGGCTGAAGACTGGCAGATGGACCTTAACTTGGATAAATGCGAGGGGTCGTAAATTTTGGTAAAAGAAACAGAAGCAAGATTTATACAATGAAAAGGATGGCCTTGGGTAGTGTTGTAGAACAGGGTACTGGTTGAACCGAATGGTCTGTTTCCACGCTTTACGTTACCAGAATCAGAGAATTCCTATAGTGAGGAAACAGGCCCTTCGGCCCAACAAGTCCACACTGAACCTCAGAGCATCCCACCCAGCCGCATCTCCCTATAACCCACCCTAATCTACACATCCCTGAACACTACGGGGTAATTTAGCACGGCCA